CTCATGTAATTCACTTTTTTGCAGAGTTCTTTCAAGTTTCACCCGCAGGCGAGATTGGTGGATCCAGAAGCGAGCGATATTAGGATCAGTTTTGTCATCGATGACAGTGAACTTTCAAAAGCATGGCGCGGCGCTACAGTCCGCGTATGATCGAGTCATCTCGTCCAAATCGAACGAAGAATGGTACGTTGGGTTCTGGATTGTTATTAAGCTGTGGTGTTCACTTTATTTTCACCAGCATAAATATTTCAGGGCTATATTCGACTATGAAGGCAGCTCTAATGTCATAAAAGTTGGCGACGAAGGAGGTTCGGAGAGCTTCTCATTATTTCTGTGTTTGAATTATCTGTTGATGTGTCCCTCTGTCCCACAGATGCAATAATATATTGACCTGGGAGATAGGAGCGATCTGTTGAAGCTGAGAAGATCCGATCGGTATTGATCGACTCTCTTGAAAAGGCACACAAAACAACTAAAATGAGGAGCTGTAGATCGATATACAACTGAAAATAAATCTTATGGAGCGTTCATAGTTGGCGATCGTACGTGCGATTAGGCGATTAGGCGATGATTCAAAATGAAAAGTATACGAATCGATTAGGCGATTAGGCGACAAGAAAAGGATAAGTATCGATCAGGCGAGTAGGCGAGTAGGCGATTAGGCGAGTAGGTCGATTAGGTGAGTAAGCGGTATTTTTCATTATAGACGAATCACCTAGTCGCCTAATCAGATACTATTTTCATGCAGAGTATTGTCCTGCAGCTCAAGCAGTACTGCGCTTTCAGTAATCGTAGGAATGAAACGACCGCTAATTTTTTTCTTGCCATTTGCCTTTCCCTGGTGTTTTCCTTCCTTGAACGAGCCAGCGAACTGTTTTTAGACAATGGTCTTGAGGAATTCGCTACAAGTTTCAATTCGGGAAGACTGCAATACGGCGTTATTGGTGTTCGTCTCTCGAAAAACGCTCTCCCTAAGATTGTCCTTGTGCACTGGGTGCGTCACATTTTGGTCTTACAAATTTTGCGGCGGCGGCTCAATAGCAGCTCCTTATTTCAGCAAGGAGAGGGAGTACCGTCTTCGCGACTCGTTTCGGCTACGTCTCACATTGACGCCGTGCGACGATTTTTAAAGATGGTCCATGTGACGATCTACGCGAGAAGCGAAATCGACATCGAGCCGGACGTGATCCGTAGAGAAGTCGCCAAATTACCTGCCACAGCCTCATCACCAGGTGTAAGTGGATCATCGTTGTTCAAGTTTTGTATAGGTATGAGTGGTTTCTCTTAAAGGACGAATTCACGATTAGAATGAAGGTCGAAGAAGGAGTAATTCACCTAGTTGAGGGACCCGCGGACCTCCTAAGGGTGCGGACTGAAGCGCAATTGGCACCGAAGGAGTTGACCTCGGCGACCTATTAAAGGCTCAATCTTGGCGCGGTGGGCCAGTGCACGCCCACCGATCATCTGATCACTCGCCGCAGGTCTATACGTGGCGAGTGATTAGATAGGTGAGAGAGCGTAGTGTTGAAGAGGGCACAGCGATGATAGTCGCATCAATGCTCAAATCAACGGGCAAGGAAGTGGTCCCATTTCTCAGGTTCTGGGCCGTTTCGCATGGTTTTTCCTTCTTTAGTGTACCACTCACCATCGCTAACTTAATTGAAATGGGTTGCCTTTCCAGCGTGAATTCGTCCTTTAAGCAGATACAATTCAAATGTGGAACAAAAAGTTATAAGTGATGTAGTCACCACGTCGTGTGGCACGCATTTGGCTTCCAAACGGAATCGTAAACCATGCATAATGCATATTTTCACGAAGAACGCCTTAGGAAGACAGCATATTATTTTCAATCGATTGTTAGAAGGCATTTACCCGGTTGTTTTCGCCTTTTTTTCCCCACCTTTGCCATGGGCTATGCTGGGTGTAGTTCCATCGTTAATTAGAGTACGAGAGCTCGGAAGCAAACGAAACTTTGCTTTAGGTAAGGTCGTTTAAACGTTCTACATGTGGTAGGTTAGAGCGTTATTCTGTAGAACATCAAATTTAGCAATACCAAGGCGACAGTGATTTGGATCGACACACACCCCCACAGAGAAGGGTAGTGAATAGTCCAAGCAAACTCAACTCACAACGAATGGAGATGTTCGAGAAAAAAGGTAATGTTCCGAGTGTAATTGATGAGTTTCACCGCTGATGTTTTGTTTTCAGATCAAACTAGCCCCACTCCCTCGAGCTCGTTCTCACACCACGACAAAAAAGTGGATTCACCCCTTCCTGCAATTTCCTCGACATTCTCGTCATCCGGTTGGTTCTCTCCTTCGTCATTATTTCTTTTTTCTTATGAAGGAATTGTCATGTTGCAGTTACAGTGTCTTCTCTGCATAATAGCAGCAATTCATGTTTTTCGGCCGCTCCTTCGCCCAACGACTCCGGATACGAAGCCGGTGCCAGCGGTGAGTAATCGCTTTCAAAACGGACGCTGATGTGCTCTATCAAACGCTTAGAGAGCTGGCACGCATTCAGTTTTTGGGCGTGGCCCTTTCTGTAGCAACCGGGTCCACGCAATGACTTGCAACGCCTACGTTTCAGTGTGTCTATAATTTGGCCAGCAGAAGATGGGAGGGGGGAGGGGGAATTGTGAGTATGCGTGTAGATTCTTATGAGCGCGGGTGCGGAGGGGATGTACAGCCCTGTTGGTTTGCCTCTCCTTCTCCCTTCTCTACGTGTCTAGAAGCTGGGAGCTAAGTCGCCTCTTAACCGCAATGGGGGATGGGGAAGGGGATGGAGGTCTTACTCAGACCTTGTGAGAGGGGAGGGAGTCGCAAAAATTTTTGGAACTCGACACTACGCCGCGCTTCGCCTTCTTGCTGCCTGGTGTCCCTTCGTCGCACTGCCTCCAACTTCTCGAAAAATACCCCCTTTGATCTAGAGTTTTCGGCGGTTAGTTTCCCTTTCACTTTTCTAGACTTCCGCTTTCACCTCTACGTCAATCATCGGACGAACTTTTGATCCTCATATGTAGCACATATTGCAGTACAGACAGTTGATATCGCACATCTTATTGCAGACTCTCCCAAGGAGTTCGACTCTACTTCACACGCGTACAGTT